GAAAGTTGTTCGATTTTCTCTCTATAGTTTCACGAAGGAAAGCCGTGGCTACAGGACTTGCACCAGGGAAGGGCCAGTCTTTTCTGCTCCGGTTGGATGTGGTTTATAAGCCAATCATTGGTTGGCAGGCAGTGATGCTTATCTGCTACTGCAGTGTGTGCTATTTTGGTTGGTTTGGCTTGATAGACTATAGCAAATCCTCTTTTTTGGAATTGCCCAATATCTGTCCTCGAGCCAAGTTAAAGAACTGATCGTAGTGGGAGTTTTATATGCAAGTCTTGGCGGCATCGGTTTGTGGAGTCCATCAGCCGTTTTGGACACTCTCAACACACCCGGATGGGGGCATGTAGTGGTAGTTATCGTATTTTTAGTATTTCTGGTGGTCGCCCTCCTCCTCAAGGAAATCATGATCCAAGCAGCGCTGCATACCGGTCCCACCAGGGCCCCCTCCCCCTACCAGAACCGGGCCGGTTGGACTGGCTGGTGGACCGCGTCGGTTCCCCCCCAGTTGCCATTTACGCATTTCAAACACTCTGGGAGGCGGGAAACACCCTGAGTCCCTTCAAACACTCTCCTGCCTCCCAACTCCCGCCGCTTTGGAGATGTGCACCCTGGGGCTCGGTCACACCTGCGCGTTTCGTTGTAGCTGGCTACACTCGAGCGACCGGTAGCGGGCCCTGGGGGCCGCCGATCCAAGCGGATCCTGTGGATGTAAAAATATGTCGCGAGACGGGGGACGGTAGCTGGGGATAACTTTTCTGCGAACAGCGTTGATTGGAGGTCCCCACATGCGTTTGGTGTGCAACGTTGGAAGTAGGTACCATTTCTGCAGCGGGGTAGCAGGATACAACGGTATGGTAACTTTCTCACAAAGCTCTCGCCACGCCTACGCTGAAGTCGTAGTCGAATCTCAATCTTGCCCACTGGCAGGAAATCTTCCCACTGCTCAGTTGGCGAGTATGTATCGCCGCAGTTAGTGCTGACAGGCAAGTGAGTGTCAGGGGTGATGCGGCATACAGGCAACACGGATGGCCTATGGTTCCAATACTCAACGTTTAACGTGTATCTGCACCGCAAAGCGCACCACGTACTACTGGACTGATTAAGTGCTTTTTCATGTATTAAGACCGTTAGCAGCCGCAGATGCATTTTGAACGTTGTGTATGTGAGCCAGGCCCTCAAACACGGCCTCGGTCCAATACTCACCAAATGCAGACACTGAGAATGAATCTTCCAGTATAACATGGAAATATTCATATCGCAAACACCCCGCTGCACAACATTCAAATTCTCCTCCCTTCCCCCCCCCCCCCATTTATGCTAACTACAAGCAAGGAGCGTTCCCACCACTGCCGGTAGCACTCACACTGCCTCTGTAGTGCCGCTACCCACACTGCCTCCGTTAACAGCACTCAAAAAAGCAAAACACCAATATCGATATCTGATCCACAAGACCAAATCTACTGTTAAAGACCTGGGAGCCAAGGCAAAGTCGTGTGCCAGCTAGATCATCACACCAACAAAATCCCTCTTCTCCATCAGGGCTACTCTCTCATTATGGCTTTTCAAACACCCTGTAAAGAGCCTGAGCTGCCATGACGGGTTTCCCACCCCGCTCCCTTGGATCTTCATGGCTTATCGATCACAATGGGAACAACTCAAGTTTTTAGTTGTTTATGTAAGAGCTATTGCTGTTCTATTTTTATTTGTGGTTATGATGCTAAATATAAAGATAGCAGAAATTCACGAAAATGTATTGCGTTATTTGCGTGTGGGTAGTATTATTGGACTTATCTTTTTGCTGGAAATTTTCTTAGTTGTAGATACTGATTACATTCCAATATTACCAACAGAATTGAGTACAACTGTATTTCAATATACTGGTTATGCTTCCAAAATACGAAGTTGGACGATTCTGGAAACTTTAGGAAATCTACTTTATACCACTTATTTTTATTTGTTTCTGGTTTCAAGTCTTACTAAGTTCTTACAGGTGACTGTAGTGAATATGGTGAAGGCATAGTCTTACCCCATCAGTAATTATGGTGGAAGGTCGAGGTTCCAAGGGTTCGGTTGTTCGCCGATGAAAATCACTGTGGTAAACTCATTGCCGTGTCAGAGGAGTAATCTCCGACCTTATTACTTCACTATATGCGGGTGCTCTTCGCCGGTTCTCACTTGCCACCTGACCAGTAGCGTTCCCGCCGCCCCTCGTTGCACTCTCACTGCTCCAGGTGGCGCCGCTGCTAGTAGTTCCAAGAGTTTCCCTCTGAGTCACTCTGAAACTCGTAAACCTGCGTCTCTGTCTTGATCGTAGGCTGCAGCTATAAGCAGAGAAAAGCTCCTTAACAATGGTGCGAGTTCGAAACAAAAAGAATTCCGATTTTAGAGGATAGGAGATGAGAAGAGATGAGATGAGAAGAGAAACAAAAAAAACCCATAAAAGAAAAGCAGACCCGCTAATACGAGTCATTCTAATCCGCCTCAGGACCAAATTTCCCACAATCACGAGTGCCGCCCAAAGTCTATCCCCAGACAGGGCAAAGTAAAGAGCAGACTAATTAAAATTAAGATATCCCGTGATGTCACTATATGCAGGAAGAGAGGTGCAGAAATAAGCAAGAAGAGAGCAGCCGGTCCCATTTCGACCTCTCTCTCTCATCTCTCTCTCTCTCTCTCTCTCTCTCTCTCTCTCTCTCTCTCTCTCTCTCTCTCTC